CCCGCTGACGCAATCGACTCGCCGTTGCACACATTACACACCAGGAGACTGGCAGTATAGCTTAAAGTACCTGGACAGCACGGCGAGCGAAAGTAATTTGCATCGGCTCGGGGCACGTTAATTCACTCTCCTCCTCTCTATTATACGCCGCATCGCGGCATCGCCGACAGAACGATGGGGTAACGCAAACAGAAGGCGCTTACGTCCTTTCTCTCTCCCGGTCGTCTCGCGCGTATAACCAACAGAGACGCATCTCCCATTGGTGACTCTTCGATTTAATTTTCGCGCTGACTTTGCTGTTTTTTTTTCTTTTATCCACACGAGTGATGTATTAGCAAACGACCAACGCATTTACGTAGATCACAGTGTGTAATAATATACATACGCGGGCGCTTCCTACCGTTTGCCAATCGCTTATCCGCCGAACCGATCTATACCGATCCTCGCCACTATTATGAAAATCCTTTCAAATTAATTAAGCTCCGCGCGAGCGTTGTTTCCATTATGCCCCGTGGTTATCGCGATAATTGCATTTACATAATTCGCACTCTTAATCGGGCGCTTTCATCGAAGCTCCCCGAACAAGAGATTGATTGCGCAATGAAGAAAAGAAAAAAAAACACTCGCGCTTTCCCACTTGTTACCGGGAGGGGGGAGGAGAGGCAAGCTTACAGACACTCCATACGAGTGGTGCACCGTGCGATGCATAAAAGCACCTGTATACTCAATACACGCGCGCATTCGTGGTAATAACAAGATTATCGAATCGAATCGTCATTATCGTCATCACGTGACAAATATACAGCAAGGCTGATCGGCCACTCGCGTCGTTGCACGCATGCACTCGCGAGTGAGGGAAAAGGAAGTCTCGGCTCCCTTAGCCTGTATAATATATACATACAGGTATACGCGTAACTCTCATTTGGGCCAATTTGTGTTTTTTGCCGGGGCGGCAACCGTTGACTTTACTACCGTCCGCCACCTTCCTGCGGCCTTCCCTGTATATACTTACACCGCGTCGCTCTACCTACTTTCTTTTCGCCCATTAGTTATACTTCGTCCTCTCCTCCTGCCCCTCTCTCGGAGCTCAATCCTTTTTCTTCCTCTTCCCTTTTCGCTCTCTCGCCTCTTTGTCCGCGTGTAAGAGCCGACGACGACGGCGGCCTTCCCATCCGTCCTCCACCTCTTCCTCTTTACACGTCATCAGCTCAGATATACATTTTATATA